TTTATCGGCAGTACTTGAAAATGGGTGTAGCGGAATAGTTCCAAAATTGGAAATGGGCGTAAAGCGCTGGAATCAGTCCAGCGAAAACGGTAACAGGCAAAATGCCGGGATGGCCGCTCTCAGGTTTCTCTCTGCTTGTAGACAGGAGACCTGTTCTTTACTTACTGCACTACTGAACTAGTGCAATAAGTTAAAATGAAACAAATATATTACCTCTCATTCCAACTCATTGCAGTGTGCACTAGTTCAGGAGTGCACCAATAAAGAACAATAAAATTTGAAGTTAAATCTTCCTCTATAGAGCGGCATTGCACTTTCTACCGTTGCATTGACGTTTGACTTAAATCCAAGTGAACTGAATGCATCAGGTTTATAAGAACCGTTTATCTGGTAACTACCATTACAATCACTGTTAACTTTAATTCTAGATTTGTGTTTGAAATTTTTCACATTTAGTTTTTCATTAAATAATCGATATTTGTCGATATTTTTATAAAATCGATTGTTTTTTATTCTGTTAAAAAATAATCGATTGTCTATAATCGATTATCTGAGCAATCGATTATTTAATAATCGATTATTTTTCTTAAGCCTTGTGTCCACGATCCAAGAACTGTGTCCAAGTTCTAGTTCCGAGAAATGCGTAGCCAATCACCTTGCAGCTTTTATGGAATAGCTTAGTCCCAGTCTACAATAGATGATTTAAGCCCTAAGCTTTAAGAAATTGGCCAATCACGGTCAAGTACGAGTAGAATGCGCGACTGTGATTAGTCAATTTCTTAAGTCCCAGTCTACAATAGAGATTTAAGCCCTAAGCCTTAATAAATTGACTAATCACAGTCGCGCATTCTACTCATACTTGACCGTGATTGGCCAATTTCTTAAAGCTTAGGGCTTAAATCATCTATTGTAGACTGGGACTAAATCTCTATTGTAGACTGGGACTTACGCGCCGAAGAAGGATAGAAGAAAAATTTCCACAAGGAATACCGCCCTTTGGGGAAAGTACGCGGCTGCCGTGCCGTTCGGCCAATCATCATTACACGACCGCGTGATTGTGTGCGTGCCGAATTCCCACTACGCGCCATCCCCCACTACCGCGGTGGCTAGGTGGCAGAAACGCAAATGAGATCACTGTGTGGAAGGGGCCATGGTGGAAGGGGCCATGCCATAACGCGGTGGAAAAGAAAGTGAGCGAAGATGCGTCTGCACCTCAGGTGCAACTTGACATCTGACGCCCGCCAGCTATCGGCTATCGTTAATCGAGTATTGTTTTCTCTCTCCCCAAAAGAATTTCCCTCCTACTTATGAAGCTGCGGGCAGAGATCACCGCGCAAAACGAGCATTCCTTCGTGCATGCCGCCGTTATTTGCGCCCCTCGATTCTCCACCTTCGCTCCTCTTCCGTCGCGACGAAAAACACGTGACGATCGGACGCGCATGTCGTCGCGCAGGTGTTGTCCGTGATCAAGCGAACGAGACGGCGTCGGGTGTCCGCGGTGACTGCGACCCACGCATTTTCCTCACGGAAAACCGCAAGAATGAAGACTATCCTTGCTCGTTCTGTCGTCTCGTTCTGATGGTGCTCGTCCCGTGTCACCCCGTCTCATCGATTCGCCGTCTCCTCCCTTTCTAGGTTAGAGCCCCGTCTGCGCTATACTGGGTGTCGCACAAGTATCATCTGGAGTATTTTATCTTGGCGAAATTTTGTGCAATCAATGCTCTGGCGAGCGGGAAGAATTGATTTATTTTACTAATTATTGTTAACTATTTGTTAAGCCTAGGGTAACATTTATTGATAAATTTGTCACATTTGAATTATGCATATATATACGCTAATGTTTGCGAATATCAATATTCTTAATTCACTTTAACGGAGAGTCGGAGACTGTTTCGATCAAATTGATGTCTCGATCAATTTACTAACTGCTCGTATTGTTCTATCCCGTGTCTAGATAGAAACAAGCCCAGCCCGAAACCAGGATGTCCGTGACCGAGGATAGGATTCAGGAGGTAAACATGCGTTTCATGGACTTTATGGGCAAATCGGAGAACGTTGAAGCGGCCACAAAAGAAATTTACGAGGACCTGTTAGATGAGGTGTTGATGGGTTTTGTTTTCGATGTACACCGCACAACCAAAACCGGCAGTTCCGACGTCGAAGAAGGCATACCCGATGACAAATCCTACGCCATTGTCGGTATGTGAGGTGCAAAGGTTTAGTGGTTTAAGGAGAAAATGGATTTTTATATTTTACTTGAATAAGTTTTTTTTGGAGATGGTAAGTCGCCAGTGATGAAAGAAATGAGATTAAGAATTAAAACGACTTAAGCTGGCAGAAAGTTTTTTTATCTTATTTCATAGAATTAAATTACATGACGTGACTGGGAAGATGCGTTCATAAGTCTACGCGCAGAAAAGGGATTTCTAGCAAATTTCTTACTCTCTGCATTTTAGACTCGCCCGGTCTAGACGTGTTTGGTCAGCATCCAATGAAGAAGTCTCAGGAGTGCAACTGTCCAAATTGCGAGCGTGGCGTGGCAGCCTGCAGATTTGCTACTCACCTGGCCAAATGTATGGGCATGGGTAGGAACAGTTCGCGTATCGCGTCGCTTCGTATCGCGAATAATTCCAAGGACCTGAACAACTACGGCGGCGTATTGAGCGACGATGACGACGACGTTGATTGGAGCCTGACCAACGACGGCAGCAACAAGCGCAAGCGTTCGCGCAAAGATCGCAACGGCGTGAGTAAGCGTTCGGGCAAGCAGCAGAAGCAACAAGGCAGTGCCGGTGCTGGCGGTAGCGGTTCACAGAGAAACGGCGAGACCGTCGTCAGCGGCGGTAGTGGTGAACATAACGTGCACAGCAGCAACGAGAGCTCGCCGTCGAATTACGAGAATATGTCGCTCATGGACAAACGAGCGCTGCTCACGCAGATCTGCGGCGTCGTATCCGAACACACGAAAAAGTTGTGCACTAGATCGGTACGCTGTCCCCAACACACCGATGAACAGCGCAGGGAAATACGCGCCAATTTAGAATCCAATGGCCAGGACAATCTGCATGTCGACGTGGACACGTACGAGGAAAACGATGGTCAGAATCTGAGGGACACGCTGACGAGGTGGGACCGAGAGGGTTCGAGTCATTCTAGTCCGGCCGACTCCGCTTCGACCACGTCAACCTCATCGATCAGCCGGAAGCGCGAAACTAAATCCAAGGGCAAGGGAAAAGCCTCGTCAAAACGCGATCGCGGTTCTCCAATCTCACAAGGAGACTGAGGGGGGGAGGATCGATCTGGAACAGTTTCTCGTTCTGGGAGTGTTCTTCGGTCCAGACTCACTTCCCGACAGCAGAAAAATATTGTATGATAATGTTCCTACGGACTGTACATAGATTGAAGGGAAATTTCTTCCAGACGAGATTGTGAAGTTCGCGTAATATTTAATTCTAAATATTACCCACGGCGTCTTTTTGTAATTATAATTTTTACGAAAATAAACAGCAACGAATTGCAGAATACAATATGAATGAAACCTTATTTTGAGGGCGTCCTGTTTGAGCATTATGTTATGATCGACTACCCCGATGGAAATATTTTGCTGAAAATACTACGAAATTAATGAAGAGTGAAATAAAAGTTATCAAAAAATTATTGAATATATTCATTGTCAAAATACATTGTTAGTCATATATTTAAATGCCATAATTTTTCTTATAAAATTTAATGTAATATCGCAAAATATAAGCAAAGTATGATGAAAAGTAATAAAAATCATGAAATTTAACTAAAACCTATTCGGTTTTAATAAAAAATTTTAGAAATAATTTTTTACTAAAATATTGATAATGAAACTGGTCAGTTAAAAGAGATTTTTAAATACATTTCAGTATGTTTACAGTAGTAAATTTACAATTTGATTATGTTCATAAAGGCTGCGTTCAGCAGAAAAAGCTGCTTTGCAACTGTTGTAAAATTCGTGGTGCTGATTGGCGTATTCTCTTAATCTTGAGTGAATTTAAGAGCACACGCACAATCAGATTCATGAATTTTACAACAGTTGCAAAGTACTTTTTTTCTGCTGAGAATACAGCCAGTAAAATACTTCCATCAGGGACACAGCCACATAGCGAAACATAAATCTTGTATACCTAGATGCGCCTTTTTCTCTACAGAGAGAAAGAGTGAGAAAATGTGTTTTATCTTATATCCTTCACTTTACCAGTTTGCGAAACCCATGTGTGAAATGATATAGTAGAAATGGGCGACAGTTTCACACCACGGTCTTACAGGTCTGGATTTTCGTTTGCGTCCGCGCTATCGTTATTGTGCGTCACTGCTGTTTAGGAATATGGTCTCAATTCAGATTTCACAGGGTACAGAACCGCATTGTGCCTCGTTGTGCCTTATTGCAGAATTCCTGATTTTCTTGCGTCTCGGATCTCCAGAAGCAGTGGCTTCGACATGAGTAGGGGCGAGCAAGGGAAACCCCTGGTAAAAATTCCGTT